TTTTTTTTTTTTTTTTGAGTTGGAGTCTCACTCTGCTGCCCACGCTGTAGTGCAATGGCATGCTCACGGTCACCCCAGTGTTGACCTGCTGGGCTCTGGTAATCCTTCCACCTCAGCCTTCCAAATAGCCAGAACTACAGGTGCGTGCTAGCACACCTGGCTAATTTTTTATTTATTATAGAGACGAGGTCTCACCAAGTTGCCCAGGCTGGTCTCGAACCCGCGGGCTCAGGAAATCCACTTGGCTCGGCCTCCCAAAGTGCTGGGATTACATACTGAGCCACTGAGCCCAGCACACATTTTATTTTTCTATTCTATTGCATTTTATTTCTCAAAATGCTGGTTACAGTCCCCTAAACGGATGTCATGACCCTTCTGACGGACTCTATTCATAGTCTGAAAAAACACAATAGAGGAAAATGGTGACTCATAAACTGATTATAATCTGATGAAAACACACCCTGAGGTCAACATTTCCCTTTGGTCTAGTCAATGTTTACTAGTTATTTAATTTGTTTTCCAAACCCTGGAAAGAAAGTATGTTGCACAGAACCCCAGTGCCAAGATTCCACCATTCTCGTTCATCTCACCCTTTCTGGAGTAATACTTCTCAGTACAAACCAATAAATATACTTTTCCATACACATCCATCTCATGCAGATTAAAACTGGACAGCAACTTCCCAGATCTGATGAGCTCCACTGGCCCAAACTCTGTGACACTAGACTCTTCAGCCAAAGGGAACCTTCTTGTTACAGAAAATTATAACCTCTCACATTATTGTGAAACAAGACAACAGTGTACAATACTCAACTAAACATGATGACTCAGTGTGGACATTTAGTTCAATATGATTTTATTTAAAAATCTGCAAGGCTGAAGGAGGGATTTGATCTTTTGTTAAAACAAACAATTTTCACAGTATATATTTAGCCATTTTAACTTTGTACTGCATAACAACAGAAAAGGAAGTTTCTGTTCAAGATCCTCACTCCAACTCACTCAGCCAGGTGCCCAGCATCACGTAGCAAGATGACATAGTCCCTGGTCTGAAACTCACAGCAATCCTCTCACCTGAGAGGACACCAGTTCTCCAGGCACACACCCGAGGTCTTATGTTCGCTCCACAGGAGGCCCTGAGAATCCTTAATTTTAAAGTTGTGAAAACGTGAAAGGATTCCTTAACTCACTGCCTGCAACAAATCCAACCACCTGCTCACTCTTGACAATTACAAGTATAAAATACTTGAAATTTATAAGATGCTCCATTTAATGGAACAACTTAAATGTTAAAAAAAATTAGGTCAAGTAACATGCTTTAATGTCCTAAAATGTTACTTAAGACTTACTGAGATAAGATGTGCAGCACATCCTTGTACTTGGTATTATAAACTCCTACTGACGATTGCTACTTGATACCCAGAAAAATAAAAAAAGAGAAGAACCCATAACATATTGGTATAACAATGACTGTAGGGAATGTCATGTTTTAGGTTTTGTTTACTGCAAAAAAAAGGTCTGCAAAACCAACACTCATGTTATTTTAAATGATGAGGTAGATTTTTTTCCTATGCAGTAAAGTGAAGATCACAAAAAATCCATACAACTTTCAAATCCTCTTTGAAAACAAAAAAAGTTCATAGTCACTTTCACAAACAAGACATTTACAAACTATGAGGTGGAGAGGCCATCCTCAGACAAGATCTGTATTTGATGTGTTACTTGGAGATTCAATAATCAGTCTTGGATCAATCAATTCTTTCCAACTAGTGGTGATCTGAGGAAAAATACAAAATACTAAGTTTAGGCACTTCATTTTGAGGTCATATAGGTTTTAGTAAGTTAAAATTTTTCAGTCAAGTAAACTTCCATTTGAGCAGAATTATAGAAGAAATGGAGTGATCTGAGTTCCAGTAAACCAAGTTCAATTTACTGGAAGTTTAATGGGGATGTGGGGGTGGGGGAAGGAGCAGCAGGTTACAGGTAGTCAGGTCTCTGTGGGCAGGTCTCTTGGGAGCTAGGTGTGGCCCAGACAGGCTTCATGAGGCTGCTAATGCACTTTTGTGCCGCACTGTAATTCTTATCCAAGAGAAAGCAAATGCTAGCGCTTGGCCCTAAGGATGAATAATGAGGGCCACCTAGTGTCCAAAAAGGTAATTATAGGCTTTCTATTCTGTTCCACAGGGCACAAAGAAGACAGCCTCCAAGGCTTCATCTTCCAAAAGTGGGGCTGCACGTATTACAAATAAAAAAAAAGGAAGCCAGGCTCGGTGGCTCAGCCTGTAATCCCACGCCTTTGGGAGGCTGAGGTGAGTGAATTGCCTGAGCCCGGGGGTTCGAGACCCACCTAGGCAGCGAGACCTCATCTCTACAATAAATCAGAAAAATCAGCCGGGCATGGTAGTACACGCCTGTAATTCCGGCTACTCAGAAGGCTGAGGTGGAAGGATTGCTGGAGCCCAGCGGGTCGAGGTTGCGGTGGCCGGGAGCGGCCACTGCACTCCAGTCTGGGCGACAGAGTGAGACTCCAACTCAAAAAAAAAAGGGACTGGGTCAAATCTGCTGATCCTACCATGAACCCCAAAAATCTGTTTTTACAATAACTCTAAGAGTTTACCTTAAAGTAAAGCACAGTCTGGTGAGGGTTGCTACAATTTACACTTCAGAAAAAAATGTGAGTTTGCAATACTGAATCTTAGAGAATAATATCCATAACATTCCACACATAAGAACTTTAAGAGAGATCATTTTCATATCTCTAAATTCTATTTTCTTTAATGCTACCATAGCCTAATGAGCCAGCCCTTGCCAGCAACTCCAGCCATCTAGCTGCCTAAAAATACCTAACCTATCTACTTCTAAGATAGCAATTTACAGATTTAGACAAAATCATCATCTTATGTCACTCTTCAAAGCTATGCTGTTATAAGTCAGAACTGTGATAACATTTGAGGGGTAGCAATGATTGCAAGGGGGCATGATGGAAGCTTCTGGGGGTTGTTAATGTTGTTTCTTGATCTGGTTATATAAGTATGTTCATTTGTGAAAACTGTTCAAGCTATATAATTATATGCACTTCTAGAAAGTATATGTCAATATAAGCTTAAATATGCTACTCTTTTCTTCTATTGGAATCCTTATATAGCTATAATTTGAAGCAGCTTATACTCTTAAACAAAAGTTTTTTATACATCATGTCAAAAAGGCTCTTTGAGGACCAAGATGGTATCTCGATTTAGCACTTGGCACTGGTATTGCCACTCCAGATTCCCCAAGGGCCTAGAGGCAGTTCAGAAAGCTGCAACGACCCCTTTCATAACCCAGATAACCATCTGAGAGAGAATATAAAGCCAAACAAGGAGAGCAGAGAAGCACACCTACCCTCCTCTCCTGTGTCACAGCGTACTCCACTACCTCGGTTCCATTTTCATTGTGATAAACCAAGTCAAATTTTCCAGGTTCTTTCAAGGCTGAAACCAGAAGGTAAGGAAGAAGAACAATAAGCCACTCCTCAGTAGTTAAAATAGTCCCCTACAGGGAATATGTATCATTAGGAAAATGGCTACAGTCAGTGGATGCAAAGGTTGGTTACGCATGTGAAAACATGGTGCTCAGGACCAGGAGACCCTAAGAAAGACCCAGTGGCAGTGACAGGGGGCTTCTCAGTCATTTATCCAAGATGGTCTTTCTTTTATGAGTTTGATGAACTATCACTAGCATTCCCACAATAGAATATGGAACCACAAGATAATCTCCCCCAAATAATGTCTGTTTCAACAGGGAAAGGTAATGTGAAGTGTTGCTCTGTCTTCAGAAACTACATGTGCCTACGACTTGGTAACAAAGGCGGTCTTTGTTTGCATGGTAATATGGGATCAGAAAAAGGACTGTACAAGCAGAAGCCATGCAAAACAAGCTAAATAATCAAGGGAGAAAAATCATGATTATCTCATGATCTCTAAAAGTTTTTGTCAAAACACTGAAAACTTTTACTGTATAGGGAAATGAAAAAAACAGTAAAACTAATAGTTACGTAGTATACTGCAACTTAAGACATTAGGAACACTGAGAATTAAAGTGTTTTATTTCTTTGTAAGAAACATATTGGCCAGGCACAGTGGTTCATGCCTGAAATCCCAGCACTTGGGAGGCCAAGACAAAAAAAATCACTTGAGGCCTGGAGTTCAAGACCTGAATGGACAACATAGTGAAACCCTATCTCTATTTTAAATACATACATACATACATATATACATACATAAATATGTAAATAAAAAATTTATCAAGGGAGTTTGAACAGCACTTGCCTTCTTGCCATATAACTCATGATACAGAATAGGCATCTTTTCTATGCTTTGCAGAACTATTATACTCCTAAGTTTGGCTCCACTTTCAATATTCTATCCTTTGAGATTCTAATGTCATAAAATAGTTCTGAGTTTCTTTAATTTTCATTTTGTGAAATATTTGCAGTTTTTGCTTGTCACTTCTTGGGCATTTTCAACCCTTTCGTCACACTTACCTACCTCATTTATGTCAATAAAGTCACCTAATTGGCAGTGTCAACATGCCCACAATGAGCCACTTCCTCTATAACCCCACTTAAATTCCATCTGGATAGCACTTTCAGCATTGTCATTGTTTGTTTCTTCCCTTTGCTTTTATCCTTGTTGGCCAGTTTCTTATTTCAATGATCCATTTTTGTAAAATGTCCTGTGGGCTTATCACTGAGAGACAAGGAGGCAGTACAACCGCATGCTCTGCTGTGTAACAGACGCACAGTGACCAGTCACTGACAGATTTTGAAAGAAATGACACTATTGGCCACAGATCATCATGCACATCTGTTACGCAGTGCTCTGTAGACTGAAGAGCTAGCAGGTCTTAATGCTGTTGCTCAGTTCACATACCCAATGTTGTTGGGAGACGGTGTTATTCAACTAAACCACGGTAACTGAAATTAATGCATATCAGAACCATGCAAATCCAGGATACCTGGCATTGCTAATTAGAGAACAGATAAAGCTGTTAGTTTCTTGATTCACCATTGGATGTTATCATTGTCAATCACCTAACAAGCAGGGCTCACACGCTGTCCGTGGAATTTGACCATGGACAAACTTCCCTCTCCACCATTCCTAAGGGGGATTTCTACAAATGAAACCTCATCAGAAGAAAGCTGAAAAACCAGTTTAAGTTACCTCTGAACATTTACTTAATATCATAAAGGAACTTTGCTGAAAAGCCTTTTGACTGATTTCTGTCTACTGGAGTTTTGAATCTTTTACTCAGTACTTTATTGTAAAACAAATAGAAAACAATTGCTGTAGAGTCTGCTAAAGGAAAAGGGATCCCTCTGGCCAAGGACCCCTACAATACATCCCAAGTTAAGCTATATACAGTAAAAAATTCTTTCATTCTGGCTTTCAGAACCAATAATGGGTAATCAGGGATAAGGCAGGGAATATTTAAAATTACATGCAAGAGTATTATGTATACACACACACACACATTAGACATTTTATTTTGACTTAATATACAAAAGTATGTTCATTTGCCAATCTTTTGAAATAGAGCAGAGTGGGTTTTATGAGTTCACTGAATAGAGATGAAACCATACCATTATATTATCTGCAATTTCCACAATTTATAGTGTTGGGTTTCTTAAGTAATGCAAGTTTGCAAAAATTTACATGGCAATCTAAGTGTAGAATCTTCCTGGATTTTTATAGAATTCCTCCCAATCTTTTATATCTGACCCACTCATCCAAAATTTAATCGCATTTTTTTTTTTAAGTAATGCTCCCGAGGCCAGGCGCAATGGCTCACACCTATAATTCCACCACTTTGGGAGGCCAAGGTAAGAAGATTGCCTTAGCCTAGGAGTTCGAGACCTGCCTGGGCAACAGGGCAAAACCTCGTCTCCATAATACTGTAAATTAAAAAATTAGCTGGGTGTGGTGGCATGCACCTGTAGCTCCAGCTACTGGGAAGACTGAGGCAGAAGGACTGCCTGAGCCCAGCACGTTGAGGCTGCGGTAGCCGTGACCATGCCACTGCACTCCAGCCTGGGTGACAGTGAGACTCCAACTTAATCCCACCACTTTGGGAGGCCCAGGGGTTCAAGACCAGTCTGAGCAACATAGTAAGACCTTGTTTCTACCAAAAAAAATACAAAAATTAGCCAGGCTTGGTGGTATATGCCTGAAGGTCAAGGCTGTAGTGAACTCTGATTATGCCACTGCACTCCAGCCTGGGTGACAGAGTAAGATCCTGACTCAAAAAAAAAAAAAAAAAGTAATGCTCCTGAGTCAGCATTCAACTTAGACTTCCTAGAAATAATTCTTTTTGCAATAAATTCTCATCAGTTCACATAATCTTTTATAAAATTACATAATTACAGTAATAACACTAGCACAAGAGCTTCGTAACAAATCTAACATCACTTAGTAGACACATAATCTGACTCACAGGGGCACAGGCCCCCAGGGTGATGAAAGATGATTGTCATGAAGGCCAGTTGGGTGGAAGCCAACGAAGAGAACATCTCCTGCGTATAAATGCTGTTTAGAACGCACTATAGATAGAAAGAGCCTCAATTTTCAAATTCTTTTCTAAAAGACTCACCAGGTAAAGATGAAAGAATTTCTATATCTACTTGCTCGGTCTCTGGATTGTGGCTTAATATTTTTCCTTCCTTTTAAAAATAAAAGTCCAAGTCAGAAATCAACATGTAAAACATTGTGAATTTACTAAAAATCACTAAATTATAGACTTTAAAAAGGTTAAAATGATACACTTTATGCTATATGAATTTTATTTCAAATTTAAAATGCAAAAATAAATCAATGTGTTGAAGAAACAAAAACAAACAGATGGACTGATAAACACACTATCTGAACATACAGAAATAGCCTCAGAAGCAAAACAGATACATTTAAATGATAAACCGCAGACACTAACCTAAAGAACTCAGCAAAAGGAAAGATTACACTAGGCCTGCAAAAGTAACTAAGGGCAAAGGAGGAAAAACAGGCTAGGAAGATATATTCAAATGAGGACTGACCCTCACAGTGCTCATCAGAAGAGACTACACACATCCTCCTGGTGCTGCTTCGATCCCTGAGCCCTTCTAAAAGTGTGATTACAACCCCTAGGCAAAAGCAGGAAGGCACCCTGTCACTAGTAAGATTTCAGTTTCCTTCCTCCCAGGTCTCTGGCATTGGGAGCTGGTTTTCAAATGCCAATGCAGTACCCCATGCTGAGGGCAATGCAAGACAGATGGGCAACCTTCAGGGGCACATGCTGAGGCCAATCAATCAGTTATTTTGCTTCTACCCAGAATTTCTGAGCACTGTCAACAGTAATTTTTTTATTTAAAAAAAAACAGACTCAGTGGGAATCCAGGGCCTGGGAGACTACATTTTTGAGAACAGATTTCACTTCTAGAGACAAGCTTAACAAATAGAGCAGATCATCAAACTGGATAATCACATTTGAGAGCAAAGTAAAAAAAGGTGGAACTAATTTTCATTCTCAAAAGGGGTTTGAACACAATTTTTGAAATGTTTTTATTTTTTATTTTTATTTATTTATTTATTTTTTAGTCGGAGTCTCAATCTGTCGCCCAGGCTCTGGAGTGCAGTGGCACACTCACGGCCACTGGAGCCTCGACCTGCTGGGCTCAAATGATCCCTCTGCCTCAGTCTTCCAAGTGGCTGGAATTACAGGCATGCGCCACCATGCCTGGCTAATTTTTCTTGATTTATTGTAGAGACGAGGTCTTACCAAATTGTCCGGGTTGGTCTTGAACCCCTGGGCTCAGGCAATCCTCTCATCTCGGCCTCCCAAAGTGCTGGGATTACAGGCTTGCACCACCACGCCCAGCCTAAAATCTTTTTAAATTATTAGCAACTAAAGTAAGTAAATAGCCTTCCAAGGTAATAACTACGATGACTAACACCAACTTCATAAACAATTTTTAAAGTCAGTATCATCTAGAAGTACAATTTGAAGAGGGTATGGCATATATCAGCTCAATATTCACTTCCATTTCCTCATATATCACAAAATTAAATTAGTTATCTATGGAAGGATGACACATCCTGTTTTGCCTAAGACAAGTCCTTACACATCTTTCCTTTAGCATAATTATTAACAGCACCCCCTTCACTCACAAATATACTGATTTAGATGATAAATGATACGCTCACCTCATCCACAGGAAATATTAAGTTGCTAAGAAGATGAAAAACATAAAACCCCAACTACCCAGAACTAACCCACCAGATCCCTCCATTAACTGATTCTTCTAGCCCACCTTTGAGAAAAGGTTTTTACCAAGATTTTAAAAGTCTTCCAAGGCATCAATCCGGATTAAATCAAATTCTCTCATACTTTTTCTATATTACTACATTAATATTACCAATTATTACCTTCAAAAACGGACTGACAGTGTGACTATTACATCAAAAAAAGAAACTGCATTTTAACAAGATTTTTGACATTTTGGTGGGTGCAAAAAGGAAAGGGGGGAAACATGTAATTCACCAATCCCACTGATTGAGTCAAACTTTTAATGAACTATGAAAAACCTCACATATCAGTATAAAGTCTTCTGCAGATACTGAGTTAGTCAATTCCATGGATGGCATTTGTGAACTACCTGTGATTAACTGACAATGCAGAATAAATAATATGAGACCATAATAACGAGAAGTAACTCACAAAGATATAAAGTAGATTCTTATGGTAAAAGTAAACAAATTTTCTGGCAGTTATTTATTTTCTTTCATGATACTAAAGTTTAGGGTCATGAGGGAATGGATACCCAAATAAGACTGTATATCTCAGCTGATTAGAAAAAGGTGACTAAAGAAATTAAGTTCATCATTCTCATTGTATAATTTTTCCAAGTCTCAGGAAAATAACCCTGGGAAATTTCAGTGATACTATTAAAATGTTTATGTTTCGACAACATTCTCATTTTCTACTTTATGATATTATTTACTCGAAAAATCTATATTATCCATAGAAGTAGTATTAAATGTGACTTGAGATTTATTAATATACTGACAACCTAATTATTTTTAAATAAACAGCCTTACCTTGTAGTCAGAGACATCAGGAGAGTAATCAGATGTTAGCTCCAAAAGCTAAAAAAGAAAAAAGAAAAAACCCACATATACACAAGCCCTCTTCACATTCCCTTGGCTCCTCCCCCTGCTGCTGTGAAAACATGTGCTATTGGGTGCCCACCCCCACCAGTCTGGGGCCTACCATGAACCTGTGGCAACACAGGCATTCCAATGGGAAGGGCTTTCATAAATAAATAAACAAATATATATATATATATATATATATATTTTTTTTTTTTTTTTTTTTTTTTTAAAGGCAGACCAGGGGGTCTGATATCCAGTGCTGCATGAAAAATGCAAAGAACTGAACAGAAATTAGATTGGAAAATACAGTTTATTTAGAAAGTAAAGTAGGGAGAAAGAGAGGAGATTCACCTCCCCAGGGTAAGCTTAGGAAGCATGGTAGCCATAGCTCAAAGAGCCAAAAGACCTGCCTAGAGTTTAGCAAAGCAATGGAGATCTATAAATACATTTAACCTGACTTGCTAAGTGAGTTGATTTGGAAGGGGAACTAAGCTTTTCTGTTGTCATTGCTGCTGTTTTAAAATATACCTTAAATGCAATCTTTTCTCCAATTTGAGGGGGAGCTGCTAACTTCGGCAACAGGCTGTAGTCCTTCTTTTGTGTCTCTACCGGATTCTGGAAAACATATTAGTCAGGCGACTTCATTACTAGTGAGAAAATATGAACCCACCACATGAACTCCAGACATACAGCCATGGGGAAAGGGGAAGAGGTAAACTCACATTAAATAAGCCTTACCTGAATAATAGTAGATATGTTTGTTACTGTTTCATTTAATTGCTGCTGCCTTTGGCATTCAGTGTTTCTGTTTACAGCACAGAAAACTGGCCGCCCACGACCTCGGCCTCTCCCCCGCATGCCCCGACCCCTGGCTCCCTTCCAAGACAGAAAGTCTTCTTCTCTACTCCATCCTCTCCCTAAACCAGTCAGGAGACCCACACTGGGAAGAGGACCAGGAGCCTGTCTGCCAGTATTTGAGTCAGAATGGTTCCAGCCAACAGCACTTGGAGTCTGCAAGGACAGTCCTGGGCCTGGACAGCCTCTTCCAGCAAAGAGGCTTACTGTCTTCAAGAAACCCGCGGCACACTCTGCAGTGCTCTGCGACATCCTTTGGTCATCTGACTCTGAACAAGAGTCTGAACTAGACGATGATGTCCCAGAGGTCTTGCCTTTGCTGGGGGTGAAGCTAAAGCCAGCTTTTGTAGCCAGTTTGTTTGCAGTTGTATTTTTGGTAGATGGTCCTTCCTTTGATAATTCCATTGCTATTTTCTCTGAGGAATTTCTAATATCTAAAGTGACGTTACTGATGCCATCACTGGTTGATTCATGGGAAGACTCAGAATCTGAGGAGGAAATGGGACTATCTTTTGAACATGTGCTGACACCTTGCCTTCTGACTTTACGAATGCTGTTCCTAGCAGAACTTTTTGGGGGACTACAGCTGTGACTGGGCCACTCTTTTACAGCCTGTACTTTAGAAGACTTGGGATTCTTGGTCTTTTTTTTATATTCACATTTCTCCTTTTTCTTTGGTGATTTTCTTTTGGTCTCTTCATCTTCATCCACTACGGCACACGTTGCTTTGTTTTTTCTCTTTTTTTTTCTCCTCACAGTCTGATCTGTGACAGCTTTCGGTGCCAGATCCAAGGCCTTCTCATTACAGTCACTGTTCTCTTGTCTCTTCCACTGCTTCTTTGAATACCTGTAATCTAGTTCCGTTTCTTCATCCTCCTCTACCTTAAATGCCCGCTTCCTTGCTTTTTTAGGTGAGAAAGTACCGTCACCATTACTTACTAATACAGAACTCTCAGCAACTCTCTTCTCTTCTAGTTTAACTCTGTCAAAATAACAAGAGAGAAAGCTAGAGTGAGCAATTCATAAGCATGTCTCCAGGACTTAGTTACATACTGAAATGACTGCAAACAGTTACCACCATCAGTCAATGAAATAATACCACATCATGTAAGGACCAGACTTTTTTTTGGCAAAATGGCCTATATAGCATCTGATGGTCAACTTTCAAATGGTTAGTCTTATTTACTGAATATCTACCGCATTCCAAACATTTCCTCTAATACATTTTTCTCTAATCTAAACACTACTACAAAGTAGGTATCTCAGCCTAAACAGTGGTGCATGTCTGTAATCCCAGCTACCCAGGAGGCTGAGGCAGGAGGATGGCTTAAGGGCAGGAGTTTGAGAAAGCCTGGGAAATACAGTGAGACCCTATCTCTATCAATAAAAAATGAAAAAATTAGCCTGGTGTGGTAGTACACGCCTACAGTCCCAGCTACTTGGGAGACTAAAGCAAGAGGATTGCTTGAGCCCAGGTGGTCAAGGCTGCAGTGAGCTATGATCACTGCATTACAATGATCACTGTACTATACTATAACCTGGACAACAGACCTTGTCTTAAAACAAACAAAAGGTGATAATGTTGATTATTCATTTTGTTTTGAAATACAGTAAGCTGCTTTCTTTAAAACAAGATTTTATTTTTATTTTGTTTAAATTTAGGAAAATACTAAATAATTTCTGTTCTCTAGAGCAGTGGCAACCATCTGTAAAACTCCACAATACTTTGTGAAGGTTAATTTAATGTGTTGACTTGACTGGGCTATGGGATGCCCAAGTATTTAACTAAACATTATTCTGGACCTGACTTTGAGGGTGTTTCTGAATGAGGTTAACAAATAAGATGGCAGACTGAGTAAAGCAGATTGCTTTCACCATTGTGAATGGGCTTCATCTAATCCACTGAAGACCTGAAGAGAACAAAAAGGATGAGTAAGGGAGAATTTGCTCTCTGCCTGACTCTTCAAGCTGGGACGTCAGTCTTCTCCTGCCTTCAGACTTGAACTTGGACTAGAAATATACCATTCACTCTCCTGGGTCTCCAGGTTACTAACTACAGATCTTAGGACTTCTAGCCTCAACAATCCTGTGAGATAATTCATTACAATAAATCTCATGAGTGTGTGTGAGTGTGTGAGTGTGTGTGTGTGTGTGTGTGTGTGTGTGTGTGTGTGTGTGTGTGTCTCTTATTGGTTCTGTTTCTCAGGAAAACCTTGATTAATATACACTTCATCTAAAATTATTTCACTACAGGAAAGCAATTTTGTGCCTTCATGAACTGACAATAGCTAATCCTAATGTGTGCAATCTGACAATGAAAGTCATAACAGAGTGTCCCCAATGCTGCGTAAATGCCTGCTGAAAACATGCATTGCGCTTACAATACATTTACATCTTGCTATATAATTTATCTAGTTTTGTTAGTGACAAGGAAAAGATGGAGACAATCATATTTGAAAATAAAGTGCAACTGGTGAATGATAAGAGAATATATTAGCTGGGCACAGTGGCTCACACCTGTAATCCTAGTACTTTAAGAGGCCAAGGAAGAAGGATTGCTTTAGCCCAAGAGTTCAAGAACAGTCTGAACAACATACTGAGACCTTGTATCTACAAAAAAAATTTAAAATTAGCCAGGTATGGTAGCGCATGCCTGTGGTCCCAGCTACTAAGGAGGCTGAGGTGGAAGGATCGCTTGAAACCAGGAGATTGAGGTTGCAGTGAGCCATGATTATGCCACTGCACAATCTGGACAACTGAGACCCCAACTCAAGAATAAAAAATTATAGAAACACATTCCTGTCTGTCCCCAGCTGGGGACCTCTCAGCATCTAACAGCAAGGAAATAATTCTTTTTTTTTTTTTTTTTGAGTTGGAGTCTCACTGTGTTGCCCAGACTGGAGTGCAGTGGCTGCTCCCGGTCACCACAGCCTCGACCTGCTGGGTTCCAGCGATCCTTCTGCCTCAACCTTCCAAGTAGCTGGAACTACAGGCGCGTGCTACCACACCCGGCTAATTTTTTTGATTTATTGTAGAGATGAGGTCTTGCCAAGTTACCCAGGTGAGTCTCGAACCCGCGGCTCAGTCAATCCACTCACCTCAGCCTCCCAAAGCGCGTGATTACAGTTTGAGTCACTGAGCCAGGCCAGGAAATAATTCTTAATCTTGTAAAGCTAGTGTGTATCTTGTGAATTAGAACTACTGTAGAAGTGCCAGAATATCAGACTTTTTATTGACATTTTTAAATCAATTTGTTTTCACTTGTAGCAATGCTATGATTCAAGTTTTAATTCTGAGACAGCAAATTAGAACTAAACTTTTCATCAAGTTTTGAAAATGGCTGCAAGGCTTTCTGCTCCGTCATTGTGGTTTATTAAGTCCCTGAAACACAGCTGGGTGCAGTTGCTCATACCTGTAAACCCAGCACTTTGGGAGGCCAAGGCAGGAGAATTGCTTCAGGTCAGGAGTTTGAGACCAGTTTGGGCAACATAGTGAGAACTAGTCTCTATAAAAATCAAAAATAAAAAAATGAGCCAGGTGTGGTGGTGCACACCTGCAGTCCCAGCTCTTTGGAAGGCTAAGGAAGGATCACATGAGTCCAGGAATTAGAGGCTGTGGACGGCCGAGACTGTGTCACTGCACTGCAGCCTGGGCTACAGGGTAAGGCTCTCGACTCAAAAAATAATCACTCAATCAATGAATCCTGGAACACAGTACATGCTGCATTCAGTTTATGAGGATCCCTGCCTTTTCCAGGAGCCAGCAACACCATCACGCTTTCTAAATAGGCCACTGGCATTGACGCACACATCCTTAAGATCACATATCTATGGATACTTGGCTTGAAAGTATGATCTTTCAACAGTAGGCTGCCTCACTGCTTACTGTTACTCAAGATAATAATTTCAGTTTAGAAAATATTAAGATTGAGGCAAAAATACCATCCAGAAAACAAGAGCCGGCTGCCCTGAGTCTGCTGGGTCACTGCCTCTCAGGGTGCACATTATGCCTGGCAGTGTTCTCCATGTCTTTACCAGGAACACAGACAACATACGGGACTGTCCTTTTACAAACAAAAGTGAATGTCATTGTCCTTTCACAAATAGAAGTGAATGACGTGGGTACTTCATGACTGAAGAGATTTGATTCCAGGAAACATTTAAAACAGACCCTCCGTTTTTCATTAAAACTCTTTCAGGGCAAATTGGGTGATATTATCAAAATGCAAAGGACTCCCTTAGAATCTGCAGTTTCACTTCTAGGATTCTGTTATGCAGAAATAAAGACATGTTCATCTGCCTGCCAACACCCAGGACCCACTGCCAGCCAAGGCCAAAGTGACTACCTGCATGCAAATTCTTCTTCTGCCACTATGATTAAAGTAAGGGGGGGAAAGTGTTACCTCAGCCTTTCTCCTCTATAAAAATGAGGGAATGATAATAATTACAGTACTCAAATGAGCTATTATATATTTAGAATATGCCCAAAGTAGAGCAAGTGCTATCCAAACGTTTGCTCTTATTTTGATTAATACAATGAATGTTGTGAGTTCCCTGATAGAAAAGTTGGTGGATTTTGAAAGTTGTACAGGTTTGTTCAACTTTTCTGGAGGTCAATTTGATGGTACTTATCAATTTTTAAATGCACCTTTTCTTTAACCAAGGAGTTCCTCTTCTAAGACTATATCCCACTGACTCATTGCCCAAGTACATAAAGATATACAAGAATATTCACTACATCATAAAAAAAAGAATATTCACTACAGCATTATGTAACAGTGAAACACAGAAAATAACCTAAATTGCCCAAGAATAAAGGGCTGGTTAAATAAATTGTAACAAGGTCATACAAAGGGATACTGTACGGTATTTGAAAGAATGGTGTGTATCACATACCATATATACTAAAATGAGATACCCATGGTATGTTAGGTAACAAAACAAGATGCAGAACAACATATATGTTGTGACATTAGCATTTAAAAGGTGTAAGAATATATGTTTGCACATGTATAGAAACAATCTGGAAAGAGATGCCCCAAACTTAGCCAAGGACGCTTCTGGAGAATGGGATGTGGGAAGAGTATGTGACAAGAGAAATAATATAACTTTTTACCTTGGATCATTTTGAAGCATAACTTTTTGTTTGTTTATTTTCATTTATTTTTTTAGTTGAAGTCTCACTCTGTTGCCCAGCCTGGAATGCAGTGGCATGTTCATGGCTAACCACAGCCTTGACCTGCTGGGCTCAGACGATCCTTCCATCTCAGCCTTCCAAGTAGCTGGAACTACAGGCATGTGCCACCACGCCTGGTTAATTTTTTGATTCATTGTAGAGATGAGGTCTCGCCAAGTTGCCCAGGTTGGTCTCGAACTCGTGGGCTCAGGCATTCCTCTCACCAAAGTGCTGGGATTATAGGCATGAGTCACCGCGCCCAGCCCGAACTACAACTTTTTTAACAAAAAATTTTTTTTGTTTTAATAAAAGAATGAGAAGGGACTATAAATGTTCTAGAAATGAAAGTAGCCAAAGCAGGGCTCGGTGGCTCAGCCTGTAATCCTGCGCCTTTGGGAGGCTGAGGTGAGTAGATTGCCTGAGCCCGCGGGTTCAAGACCCACCTG